CATACGTTTTTACGGGAAAGTTAATAAAATTATTACAATCTTTACGAAGTTTAATCTTACGGGATTTAAAATTTAAGCTTTTATTAAATTAAGTTATATATTATTATTTTTTTAATATATCTTAAATTAAACTTAAAAATATAATTTTATTAATGTATTAAAACGGTTAATTATAATAAAATTAATTAATACGACCGGTAATAATGTTTTTAATATTATATAACATGTGGTTACCGTTTTTATTAATAATTTATTTAAGATTGTAAGTTATTTTTTCTTATACGTTTTTATTAATAACTTTTTTTTAAACTTATAATTTGCCTCGTCCAAATGGGCAATACCAACAAGAAGAAATTAATAATCGATCTTATAGTCCTAAAGTAGTTGTACAAAAACAGGGAAATTAATAATATCCAATAAATATATAGTAGTTGCAATCTAGCGGATGTAATAACAAAGGCGTCCCCAAATAAGGCTATAAAAACATTAGTAAAAAACAACCAAATTAATTTACGCTTAAAAGGATGGATAAAACGCGGAAAAATTAGGAGCAATATTAAACTAACACAATAACAGATTATTAAGGTTAACTACCGATATTAATACAAACACAAACCGTCACAGGAAATAAGAAAAGATATGCCAGAAATGGGATGGTATAATGTATATTAACATAACCCCATTTATAAAATAACTCCTAATTTAAACCATTACGCTTCTATCTTTTAACTGTTATAAATATGTACAATTATAGATACGTAAAATTATAAATACGTAATAACATATATTTAAACCAATATAAATATACGTTAATATAAATTTTAAAATTTTATTTATTTAATTATATTTCGCAATTAATTAATTGCGAAAAGAAAATAAAATAAGTAATAGTTATATGATATTAAGGTACTTTACTAATAATAAAATACCCTTATTACCAATAAAGAAAGAAGAAATAAAGTATTTAATTTTATTAAATAAAAAAGGTCGGATATCTACTATTATTAAAATATAAAAATACGCTATACCTAACTAGCCTCAAATAGATTCTTCCCTCCTTAAACATCTTAATACACCAGTCTTAACACCATTAATTTATTTGCTATTGCTTTATCGTTATTATTGTTATTCTTATTTACGTACGTACCTACCAACATAATTATTTAAATAATTACGTATATAAAGCGTTACGGTTACCGGAACGTACCGTAAAAATTATAAAATTATTATTATAACAATTTAAACATATAAAAAATTAAAATATAATAAAGTTTATAAATGGTTAATTTTTAATAATTAAATAAATTAAATTATATAATATAATAACAACTTTATAAACTTTTTAATAATAATTTTTTAAATTTTTAATTATATATTTAAAATGTGTATAATATTTAAAAATGCTTTAAAAGTAATATAAAACGTATTTAATTATTAATATAAAAAGGTTTTTAATATTTTATTAATTATAAACAAATATAATTATTATATAAATGGGGTTAATATTAACAATTAAATAAAAGTTATATATAAATATAATTATTAATTTTATTATTTAATTTTAAAAGTTTTATATTTTAATTTTTTATTATAATTAATTTTAATTAATATATTTTATTTATAAAAAAAAAGGTTTTTTATTTAAAAGCTTATTTAATTATTAAAAGATTAAATAAATATATTATTAAAAATAAAATTAAAGAAATATAAATTTAATATTAAAACTTATTAAAAAGATTTAAAAATAATGTTAAAAAAATAATATAAAGATTTTATAATAATATTATTAAAAAGATAAAAAAATAATCCCGTTAACGTATTAAATTTATAAAAGTAATATTATTTAAAGATAATTTTATTAAAAATTAATTAATTTAAATGAAAAGACTTTAAATAACTTTATTTATAAATTAAAATAAAATAAATATTAATATTAAACTTATAATATAATTATTTATAATTTAAAAAAATATTAATACAATTAATATAAACTAAATTAGGTATAAGATTAAGTAGCTTAATTTTATTGGTTAATAGCTTTAAAATTAGATTATTTTATAATATTATATTAAAAATAGTGGAGGTATAGTTTTATGCTAGTTAAGGGGATAGTTCCGCATTATCCTTTGGGTTGGTTTGGGGAATGCAACTCTGGTATACCTACTTACTCGCAAAACCATGACGGTTATGTGGTCTTGGCACCTGTATCTGTCCCGGTCACTAGGCGGAAACTATTGAAATCGACAACCCTCCCCCCTCTTCGTCCCGCTAACACGGCTGAAATATCCTCTGCAAGCCTCGATCTTGGCAGGACAGCTAGCACGAGTCTGGTAGATTCACGTAGCCCGGAAGCTGATGTGTTCGCCGAAAACGTTTGCCTGAAGTGGAACGGGATCCAACAGGCCACGACCGGTTATATACAACGGTTAGTTAGGTAGGAAAAAGGCTTAATTTTAAGTCCCTCGCTCCAAGCAAGTCGGAGTCCTCGTTAGCCCTACCGCAGCTCGGAAAACACGCGACTATAAACCTCAACCTTTCTTTTCCTAGTCTAACTTTGGTCCGCTTCCTTGGAATCGACACATAGCCATACCTACATAGTGTAATCACTACCCGCGCGCCCCAGGAACCAGAACCGCAAGCGTTGCATTTTCTCATCTGACGGCTCTCGCTTCCGGATGCCCGGCATATGACTCCCGTCTAGTTATTGGCTCGGCACCACGGGCTGCGTCTTGCTAGACCGCATAGGATTCTATTATTGGATTTTCTTCCTCGTCCGCGCACAATTGATACTACCCGATACTATAGAACTCATGCAGGCGGAAAGACGTGCCTGAAGGAGATAAGCTAATGTGATTATAGTCAGTCAAGCAAGGTCAGAAGCTGAGTCTACGTAATTTAAGCTTGAAAACCTTGCGCTGATGCCACCATCCTTGCCGGCGGGCTCTGACAATGAACCAAATCTGGGGATGGGAGCTGCGTGACGTGAAATTTTAAACCTGGTTCTTCATCGGGGATATTCTTCGGTTATGCCATGTAGTCCACGACGTAATATGTTCCTCCGTAGCTGGGTAGTGGAAAATGTCTTGTATATATTAGGGGGGGCCGGCTGCCAGCTAAGAGGCTTTGCGGTAGACTACTAGTCCCCTGGCATCTATCTACGACTAGCCAGTCCCGAGGAACATAGAGAAACATAGCTATCGTCCGGAGTCTCTCCTAGAAGACGAGATGGTCTCTCCCTGGGCCCTCGCCGCCTCGGCTATCGCACTATCAGGGCTAGCTCTCGCTGACACCTGCTCCACCCTGAAGGACATTTCTAACATTGACGTTGCTGATCCTCTTGACCTATCATATATCAACGAGCAGAGCGACTATTGGTCTACTTCATGCTCTGCCCTGAAGCCTTCTTGCATTGTTTTCCCCAAGGATGCCAACGAGGTATCTGCCATCGTGAAGGTCCTTAATAATAACACTGAGCCGTTTGCCATTAAGTCTGGCGGGCATAATCCTAATAATGGCTGGTCGAGCGTCAAAGGTGGCCCCCTTATCTCAACCCAGAAGCTTACGCAGGTCATCGTGGACCAGGAGACGGGCATAGCCAGGGTTGGACCTGGGCAGAGGTTAGACAGCATCTCCGCTGAACTTCAGGGAACCGGATGGACCTTTGTCGGTGGCCGTATCGGCAACACGGGTGTAGGCGGTCTTGTTCTCGGTGGTGGTCTGTCATATATGTCGGCTCAGTACGGCTGGAGTGCTTCCTCCGTACTGGAATACGAGATCGTTCTCGCTAACGGTACTATCACAACTGCTTCTGCTACCAAGAACGCTGATCTGTTCAAGGCTCTCAAGGGCGGTGGCAACAACTTCGGTGTCGTGACCACATACGTTCTCCAACTGTACCGTCAAGGCAATGTCTTTGGCGGCAACCTAGTATTCCTTCACAGCCCTGAGACAGACAAGAAGTTGCTGAAGGCCGTGCGGGACTTCACCGAATACAACCAGGACAACAAGGCAGCCGTAATCGTCACGGCGGAGCGCGGTAACATCGATCTCCTCGACACCTGGATCCTGTTCCTCTTCTACGATGGCCCGGTAGTCCCCGAGGGAACCTTTAAGAACTTCACTGATGCGGGGCCTCTCCTCGACACCACTAAGGTACAGACCTACGCCGATCTGATGGGCGGTAGCAACTGGGTCATCGTCCCGTTATCCGTCGTGCAGATTGGGACCGAGACGATCCCCATGCCGTCGGCTGAGAACAACGTGGAAGTCATGGAAGGCCTTCACGCCCACTGGCGAAATATCACTGGCACGGTGCTCCTCGAGCCTGGCATCATCGCTTCTATCGCGTACCAGCCCTTCCCGAAGGCCATCGCACAGGCCGCAAAGGCAAGGAGCGTGGATTTAATCGATGCGGACGACGAGGCACACCGCCTGATTATCGAGATGAACTATAGCTTCTTACTGCAGGGAGACTACGCGAAGATGGATCAGACGCTACAGAATACTGTGAGTGTATCCGGAGGTCACACGACCCCCCCTTTCGACCTTTGACTTATAAAAGCAACTTACTAACACTATGGTGTCATAGTACGGTGGTGTTCGTGAACGTATACTCGGCTGGCAGCAAGATGGGACCCTACCTGACATCTACCTCCCCTTGTTCATGAACTACGGGTTCCACCAGCAGGACTACTTCGCTCGACTACGTCCAGAGAACCGAGCATTCGCACACTCGGTATCGGAGAGTGTAGATCCTGATGGTTTCTTCCGGAACCGAATAGGAGGCTGGAAGCCTTAGACATGCTGCTCGTCTTGATTGATACCCATATATATGCATTTAGCACGAGCCTTTATGTTTCGTTCTCGTTTTTTTTGTCTTCTGATTTTATGATATTACACAGTAGCCGCTTATGCCTTCCGGGTATTGGTTATAAGCTTCTCTAGTGATGAAACAATATATAATATATTAATAGAGCACTTGATAATTATCTAACCAAACGCCAACATTTAAGACGCCACGAGGCAGACAAGTGGGAAGAAACTAGATAAAGGGCTACGGAGAAAAAGAAAGAACCCCCCACAAGGGTGGAAATATTAGGTAGATTTGGACCTTGGTATGTATATCTAATAACCTGTATTACTTTAAACTGCTATGGGGTATTCGTTCGTAAGCTAGCTACTCGCACGTAGAAGGATATCTGTGTATGTAATAGTATGTGCGTGGTATGAGAAACGTAGGTAGGTAGGATCTCGGTGTGTAGTAGGTTTCGTATGCTCGCTCAAATTGTAACTTTCCGATCCAACCCAACGCATTAAAAAGTAGTCTTTTCAAATGTTGCGTCGTAATGATATAAACATGCCGTCTTCGTCTGTTGATATTCCCTCCGCTCTATTATGGAACCCCATCTCAGTTCTATCTACGCGCCGGTATCTCCCGATTTTCTAGCTCGCCTCCTGCCCATCCCGAATCAAGTTCATTTGGTGTCTGAGAATCGAGTTCGTAATGTTCCGCAGGCCTATAAGGAGGCGTTGGGCCTTCATAAATTCCGGCAGTGGCGGTATATGGAGATTGTGTGTATCCGGTGCTGGGCGAGACTAAAGGCTCCTTATTGCTATATTGTTCTTGAGGAAGTTCTTGCCGCGGCTGAGCTTGCTGGAATTCGTCGAAGGGCGCTTGCTGCTGTCTCTTCTGGCGATACCGTCTTAAGAAGAATAGTAGTCCAACAAGAATAGCGATGACGACTACTAAGACACCTATTACGATGCCTGCAATTGCGCCGCCTGAGAGTCCAGTGGAGTTTGACTAGATTCCGCGTTTAGTATCACATATATACTTTGATAAGAGAGCACTTGTCTTAAGAACTTACGTCCGTACTTAGTGCAAAGCCGTCTATAGGATGCGCATAGGCTTGGTCGGTAGTAGCCGAGGCGACCCATTCGACCGTCGCCGTAAGACTCGCGTTATCATACGCCGTGACCGTCGCAATCTGGCCGGCTTGGAAATTACTATAACAGGTACCCCCGTATGCCGGCCGGTTGGTGTCTACCGTTTTGTCGGGAAGATGAAGTTGAAAACCACTATCGTTATAATTAGACCCCGTCATATGATAATTGGCTTGCTTAAATGATATATCATTCTTGATATCCACCTTGCGTATTATACGATTTCCTCGTGGATGGTAGCATAGGGCATAAGAGATCAACACTTACGAGGCGCAACAAGCTATATATCCATTCGACCACGTCCTCGCCGCGTTCCAACCTTCGGGACAGACCAGCGGCGAGAACATAGGAGCGATAGAACTCGAGGCATTTTGTATCTACTAGATGTTAATAACTTTCCCTAGGGTCTCAACGATGCTTATTCTAGCCAAGCATCTACATATCCATAACATCGTAAGAAGCAAAACAGGTTGATCACATACTACAAAACACGTTAGCACACTCGAGAGCCACACGTCGCGAACAACCGCACTAGACCATTATACTAACCACTAGTATACCCATTAATATACCCCGACGGATAACAATCGCCAAACTTCGAATTCGGCACAGGCTGCGGCTCGTTGAGCCAAAGCTCATACCCCGGCGACGACAACTGCGTAAGATGCACCTCGAGACACGACGCCGGCGGGGTGAAAGTCGTCGTGAGTTCCTTTTCCGTGAGCGTGAGAACGGAGATGGACGGCGCCGTCGTCGGGTTCGAAGCCACCTCTGTTTCTGCCCCAGAGGAGAGACTCGCAACGGTTGTAGTCTGGGCGGCCATGGCGTAGGGAATTATGAGTAGCGACGACAACACAGCAACAACTACTCCGGACAAATTACAGGAATGTTGAAAACCTGTTAGACGATACGATAGCTGCAAAAGGAAGCAGAGTAAAATAGATCATCAGAAGCAACTTCGGAATCGGCAGCGAGCGACGGGTGATCTAAGGCCCTTAGCTTATGGAAGGATCGGGACGCCGCATCCACAATACATAAGAACCGGTCGATGTAGCATTAATGTATTATGGGTTATCTAGTCCTGTCCTGTCTGAGCCAGCCCAGCTAGCCAGCCCAGCCCAGCAAAAATCCAGTTTACCTATTACATATGTATGTGCGTCCGGGGCACTTCAAATCTAGGCTGACTGAGGCGACTCCAGGGTGACATCGTGCGGGAGTTCCACAACGGATTTAACTCGACTTTTAAGTCTATTCTCCATCGACAAAGGTTCAGCTCCAGCGTTGTAAACCTCCCCCATCTGTCCTCTGCCCACCCCCATTGGCCTTATGCACCCTTGTCGCGTTTCAGTACTACACATGGTCTAGTTCAGGAACCACATGCGATATTAGCAGATACTATTACCTACTACATATGTACCTACCCTACATGATTTAGAAGTACCAAGAGATTGGAATTGCAGCTTGCTGGAGATTTTTATCTATTCTTAACGCCAATAACAGTAACCTAGGGTTTTCCGATACAACTCCACCGATCCCCCCTTTTTATCCACAACAGTGGCTGTTCAACGACGACAACCAAATACTCTCACACCATCTTACGTAGACAAAACACATACCTGTCTCTACCCGCAACATTCTCGTAATAGAACCCAAACGGTTTTGCGTGGCGTGGCACTGCTGACTGACGTGAAAATATGCTGACGCCATCGTCGAGCCTGCGAACCTATGTATGCAGAGAGGTCTCTGGAATTATTGGAAAATAAATAAATAAACTAACCCTTCTGGCGTCAGCGGAGCTTGCCGGTCAGCAGACGCCCTTAGCGTAGTAGCCTAACGCGTCCCACCTGGGGAGACAATTGCCGTTTTTTGAAGGAAAAATAAGCCCTACGCGTAGCGTCTTCATGCATCTCACCATTAATATCGCCAAGGTATATATTTGATGACAAACTACAATATTTATACATATACATCACTAACCTAACCTAGGTAGTCTAGGACTTGATGCTCCGCATAACATTCTCCCTTGGTAGCGTACCCTAACTATGGTAGAGCTTCATTTAAGGCAGAGTGGATCAGGTCGCGTCAAAGCACAAAGAATGAACCTCGATAGTTAACCAATACTAGCCTTTGTAATGTAAATTTGCTACTTAATATCAATCGAGTCCCTGGTATCAGTCCGACTTCTCGTAGAAATGTCTTCTCATGATTCGTTAAATCACGCCAGGCGTAGGCCGCGAGGCTCTCGGCCCAGCAGCTTTTGTCCATCCGCAGTGCCCCTTTAAATCCCATGGATATTTCCCGTAAAGCAACTGCGACTGAACGAACATATATTTTAACTCCGCACATTTCGTAGTAAAAGGAAGCGCTCCAAGAAAAACAGGGGAAAAGCAATCTGAGAGCAAGGTCGTATGTGAAATCGAATACAGCCTGAGCCTCCGAGGGTATCTTTGCTTCCGCCTCTAGTCCATCCAGCTCTTTCCACGTACCTTTCAGGACGAACAACAAATAAGAAAAACAGGGCGCCGCGAGACTGAAACCCATGTTTGAGTATATGTAGGCCTTACCTCATGCCTGGGGAGGCACACAACCTCCATTCAGAAGATACGAACAGAATAGACGAGATAAAAACGTTTTCCGAGCCATAAGACCTCTTAAACATATGTCGCGCCGCGTATAATCTTCAGCCGTGGTGTGGGTAAAGGGGGCGAATTGCCCCCTATCCCTTATTTTAAACAAACGGTGACCTCCAACGTCGTCCAGATAGACAGGATACGCTTAGTATCCTTGAACGTCCATAGGGCCATTGAATGAAGGTGGATCCATAGCCATAAACTCAAGTAAATCGACACCCCCTACGTTAACTCCCTGATCTGTCATTGTCACGTTGGTATTCTCTCCCATGTTCTGGAATAGGCCTGGGCCTGGCGGGAGGTACCACATTTGGTCGTCGGCGGCCCAGTCGGTGCCTGATTCAAATATGCTATCGCCCATGTTAGACTGTTCTAGAGCATTGCCGCTATGTGCTGGCGTGGTAGGTCCAAACACCGAAGCTGATCCGGCCGGGTAGGGAAAGTTGCCAGTGGTTAAATCGAAAGGCGTGGCTGATACGTTGCCTGAAGGGGTAGATGATCGTTCTACAAGATTCGTTAGTCCCGTCCCCAGAGTCTACAGCAAAATTGGTTATAACAAACTTACCAGGAACATTGAGTCCCTCTCTGTATTTAGTGTGGTTCATGTACCCATTCTCGATGCCGTTAGCTTGCAAATTTCCGTTCATAGCCATGGCTCTGCTGACCTCGCCATTTTGACGAGGGCTCTTGCCTTCACCAGAACCTGTCGCCGGTGCGTACTTGAAGCGGTCTCGGAGCCGTGTTGTTAGAGACTCGAGAAGATCACCGAACCTAGTACCCAGATGAATATCGTCGACGACACAGTTCCGTAACGCATCAACCGTACGATCCAAGAGACTAATGCTCACTTCCACATCGGACTTAGGAGCACCTAGGGCGAAGGTCTTGAGCAAGAACATGGCTCCACTAATGATGCGGAAGTAAGTTCTCACAGGGGCGTGCTTAAGGTAACCTTCTTTCAGCAAGCCTTCGACTACAGTCCGTAAAAGATTTCTGCACCCGTCCACTACTTCCTTGACGTATTCTTGATCTTCATGGCCGAAGCCACCTAGGTGACCAAGAGGGAGGTTACCCAAATAATTTTGCGTTTGGGGTGACAGCTGTGGATTCCCTGCAGCGGCATTGTTCCCGTGCACAGTGTTGCTAGACACTCCGGCATTGGTTGTGCAACGTTCAACAACTGCTTGCAAGGCCAAGGAGTTGACATATATCCGTACATATTCGTACTCAATCGTCAGTATATGACGGATATTCTCAGGCATGTCGAAACGCTGAAACTCTCTCCACCAGTTCCTAAGAATCGGCTGGAATTCCTTGAGCGCCTTTGTGTAGTTTCCACTCTGTATGATCTCCGTAGTGTGTTTCCGTGATCGGAATAGCCTTTCGTTACCCAACTGCATGGCATCACTCATGCCTACCCAACAGTGTATGATCTGGTCATCTAGTTCGACATTGGGCACATAACTAAAGCTATTAGATATAACTGATTGATTTGTCCCCGGCGTGTTTCCCTCGTTTGATATTAGACGTCTTCCGGATAGAGCAGGGTCAGTTTTCCGGATGCTGTCAGGAACCATGTTCGTCCAGCCGAGGCGGCCAGCTAGCTGCGTCAAATAGACCAGCAGCAACCGCTTGATCCGCGTCGCGCGGAGACGATACGCTTCGTCCTCGTACTCGGGCCGCGTGATGGCATTGGTCTCAAGTAGCTCATCGATGTCGTCGAAAACTCCTAATTCGTAAGCGAGCCCCAACGCATTGCTGAGCAACATCCAACACATGCGGTCGCTCCTCCACGCAGGCTCAAGCCAGCTTTCAATTCTACGACCTCCGACGTTGCCGCCGGGACGTTGATCGCCTTCGTCATCATCGAGCTGGGGTCCGCCGCGAGAGGGGAGCATCAACTCATCAATTGCCTCATCTGGGGGGAAGTGAAGTGCGCGAGGATGCCACTCAGTTAGTATCATTAACGACTCAATTGTCCCTAGTGTACGAAGACTTCCTTTCCTCAATCCTCGCCACGGCGCAGTGCTAGAAGTCTGGGACTCATCAGCGCCGGATCCGCAGAAGCCACCGCCAAAAGCCTCCTGTCCCCAAAGACACCTTTCAATCATCCTTCGAAGATATCTCCACAGCTCCTCATGAATTGCGTGCGATCTACAATGACCACCCGTGGAGCGGATACGGTAGTATCTCGATGCGATCGTCAGCAGCGTGACGGTGAGTATGGGTTCTTCGGCCAGTAGGGTTATATGAGAAGCCGGACTTCGGAAGGTCGGTGGCGAGATAGGCGTCATGGGAGATAGGTACTCATAATAGCTTAACAATAAATCAGCAAGGTACAAAAATAGCCGCCATTGTTAACTTACTATACAATATACTTTATGGCTTCCTCTTTCGTGAACCATCCGGCTCTAACAAATCTAAACCTCGACCAAGCTTCGAGAGCTTCTTGATATCCGGCTTCGTTTTCAACATTTAACCGACGTTCCATATCAACTACCTCATCGTTCTTAGTTGATGACTGCAAGAGTGGATCTATGAGGTCTGCGGATTTCGACGTTGCGCGACCAGTCGGGCGACTATTATAACCTGTACTATGGTCTCGCGGTGTTTTACGACCGGGAACAGATACGGGCGAGGGCTGGACGACGGAGGTAATGCTTTCGTGGCGCCTATTTAGATCGTGCGGGCTTGTGGCATAATCAGCGATTCGCTCGTTTGGGAGCATGCTAGACGAAGGTGATATAAAGACGGACCTGTCGGTAGCAGCCTTGTACAGTAGATCGAGGGCATCATGAGGCCCGTAGACTTCCTTTCTCATGACGCTCTGCGCTTCGAGATTTTCCAACTGAGCATTTGAATCTTCACCGATGTCCGTATAGCTTCCTCCCCTGTCGTTCTTTCTCCCGTCTTCATGGTCTGCACTAGGTCGCTTTAAAGGTTGTGTTCGGCCGGTCGAACCACCGGGAGTCAGCGGTACGCTACTATAGGATTTCTTATCGACAAACGGAGGCGTGTCTTCGGCGTGGGCTCGCTTTCGAGCGTTACGAACGATATAATCGTCTTCTGGTTCGTCGATATCGTCCTCGTTCTTACGCTTACGTCGCGTAGCGCTGAAGAAACATTCTTTGCTCTCACGGCGGCAACGCACGCACGGGGGGTCGTGGGGATCGTCTACGCTGCCCAAATCACATCTCACCTTTCTCCTCCGACAAGGGATACACGCTTGGTACACGCGTTTGTGCTGGGGAGTTTGAGACTGCGGCTGAGGCTGGGACTGGGGTTGCGCATGCGGGTGAGAATGCGCCGTGTTTGCGGGGAGAGATTGGCGTGATTGTTGAATGGCAGATGACATGTTGGCAGCGGGTGCGGCGGCATTCTCATATTGAGACATGGTCTGATCCAGTGGTGGTGCTATCGATCTGGTCTGTTTCGGCTTCGGCACCAGCTCCAGCTCCAGCGCCAACTTGAGCCCTGATTTCCCGCTCATGCATCAAACACGACGCAGAAAGACCCGGTGCGCGCCGACTGCTGTTCGGCTTACGACGGGATTTCGAGGTTTTATATAATAAAGGCGCGCAAAAGCAATAAGCGCTCCAACTGAGTGGGACGAATCCAGTCTGATAACTGGAAGAGTCTATAATAATTTTGATCCCTACTTTGAATAGATCGGTAGACGAGTGAAATGGTTTACCTCGGACTTGCGGGGTTGAGAAACCGAGACAGCTAGGACAGGGGAGGATTGTACAGTATGCAAATGAACTAGCATACAGTATGCACAAGGTCCTGCGCAGAGCATATAGCTTAGGTGATACAGCTTCTTAGAAATTATCGCCGGTTAGATGGTAGAAGGCTTGATAGTAGGGTTAGAATCGGTAATCTAAGCTGTCTTGAGTTACAGGCAACAGGGTCGACGGGCGGAGACGGGGACCACAAATATGGGAAGGGTGCAAGATGGGCAAAGTCAATTCGGATTGAGGCTTGATTCGATCTTCCGTCTCGTCTGGTCCTGGGTCTCCGTCTATCTCGGACTTGACGTTGATAAGCCGCAGCTGTGGGTGGCCTATTTTAGTTTGTAATCGGGGAAAAGAACAATGGAATTAGCGATTGTAAGGGTATTGTTTGCGCTACGATTGGAGCGGTTGATAAGTAACCGGAGTCCGGGATTGCACGTTTGCCAATGAATAGATAGAAAGTATAGAATTAGGGTGGGATAACGTAGGATTTGTATGTATGATGTGATGGGGAAATTGAGAGAATTGGGATGTGCACAGGACAACTTTCCTTATTTCCTTTTTTCCCCTTCGTGCTGTTTCTCTTTTTTTCGCTTCTCTCTTTCCATATAATTTCACCGATTACCTACGATATATTCCAACAAAAGTCACACTTCGCTCCCCCCCCTGGTCAATGACAAGTCGGCAAGAAAAGCCAAGAGGAAGGAGATCGGTGTCCCCAGACATGTACCTACATTAAAGTATATCCTGCATCAGAATGCAGTTACCCATGCACATGTATCCCTAAAGTTCATACTAATAATGTACCTAATGGACATCGTTACGTAGTGCTATTTAGGCAGGTGAGGTATCGTGTAATACCTACCTGTGCAACATTGATACCTATTTAAATTACCAATAAGTCGGTGAAGAAGTACTGATATTAAAGCCTACACTACTTAACATGTACCCGCCTACATGTATCTAGGTATCAAGTAGCCGGCCCCATGCTATAAAGTACTCTTAGTACATGTAGGTAGGTAGCTGCGATGCGGGACCCAATAACGCTTGCCCTCATGCAATTATCGCTGAAAGCGGTAACCATTTCTGTCCAATAGAATTCCGGGGTGTGGCTGGGCTGAAGCAGATTCATTCGGTCACGTTACCGTCCAGCATGACCCGATTCCAAGAATCCTTCACCTTAGTTTCCTTCCCTAGTTCACCTTGGAAAACGAGGCCCCAAAGAACATTAAACCCACTCCAGATCTTCTCCGCAACGCCCCACTAAACAAGAAGTATCCGTAGCGGATGATCGCTCAGCCTCAAAACTTGTGATGCCTGTGATGTCATTCTCAGCTCAACAGCCCTCAACAGCCTACGACGCTCCCAACGCCGCAATCTGTACCTACATATAATTTGTCTTGATCATCCAACCAATCGGTCGCGCTCCGACCCTAATATCCAAATACAGTATTAAAACTACGAGCTGCACAATCACATGTCCCTTAAGACACCGGCATGTTGTAGGTAGATATGCGGTGAGTCGCAAACACCGGTTCGGACTCGAATCGGAGTCGCATTTACCTATGTTACGTAGTTTTATTTATGTAACTTACCCACGTGCGGATAGTGTGTATCATGGCACATCGATATTCACATCGGTATTCCCTAGACGCGAATAGCACTATACAAATACATGTACGTTAGGCATAGAATCATAGAATCTTTAAGAATAAACCTTTTGCATTGTCGGGAGACTATTTAATTGCAGGGTATCTATCGCGATGGATGAAGCGTTGAAACGCAACCATACGCCAAGGTCAACCATTGCCACCTGCCAACCAATGCCACTATTCACTTAGGCAACCTAAATGAGATGCCATACCTAACTCATAACGCCAATGCCAATGCAAATGCAACCTAGTGTTCATGTGAAGATGACGAACAAGATAAACACGAGAGTCCAGTAGAAAATGACGGCGCAAGACTAATAACCCATTCCAAACCAGATGGGGTACGACCCGATAAGAACTTGCGACGAGATCCTTAGACAATCTTAATGTCAACCTGTTTTAGGTTAGCAATCTGTGTACGTTTCGTTCCGATAGTGTGCGCATAAGTGCCTACCATGAAGTCCCAGATCATCTTGGAGAGGTGATCAGGCAAAGTGTACAGGTCCACGGTGAATTCACCAGCATCCATGTCGTTCTTGGTGTACGTCTCATCGCTCTTGTGGTCGTGGATCAACTGAATGACGTGAAGGAGGTCATCCTCGTTGAGCTTACCGAGACCATCGGCCATCTTCTCGTAGTCGTAGGCTGCCTTCTTCTTCTTGAAGTCATTCGCCTTGCGAGCCTTGGTCGCGGCCTTCGAGTCGTCCTCGTTGGGGATGGGGCCAGTCTCGCGGAGGACAGAGAGCAATGCCTGAGAGGGGTTCTTGAAAGTGACTGTCTGGATGACTTCGTACTTCGGGGATTGGAAGTTCAGGTCGTGGTAGACGGTAGTTTTGCCGCCCTTCTCGGTGGTGAAGAGATCGATCGACATCTCAAACTCGCCCCATCCTTCGTTCTTGCAGGTGAAGGGAGGATCAGTGAAGGCTATCGTCCGGTCAGTTTTGAAACTTCGAGGCTGATACGCGCGCGGGGGGTTCGAAGTCGCTTACTCTGATGAGTCTTGTCCTCGAAGGAGGGGTGAAGGTTGTAGGTAACCTTGGTGAAGCAACTGGCAGGATGCTCGTTGCCAGCCTGGTCGAGGACGTAGACCTTGACGCTCCATTCCTTCATGGGAAACTCAGGCATAGGCGAGGGCTTCGGACTAAATGCGCATAGAATGTCAGTAGCTATAGATACACGAAAAGCTTCTAACTAGGACGCCTTAGCCAGCAGGTAACTTACATGTTGTGCTGCTCAGTCACGAGCTTGATTGATCGCTACAGGTTCGTCAGCGCGTTAGTACATCCCTTCAATTCCTTAGGAAACGCGTGTCGTAGCCTGAAAAAAAAACAAAGAGAAAAAATAAAATAAAATACTATGATCCTCAACCGTAAAATAGCAAATATTAGAATGCAATAGAAACATACCTCGACGTGCATCTTGCAAGACTTGGGATACTAAGCAATCGTGAGGTGAGTTTTGCACTGCAAATGAATTCAATGATGATGGTGGAGTAGAGATCGCGTACCTGCACCAGTATAATAGTTGTAGCCTTCTTTTTCTTGGCCTTGGCTATGGCACGTGCGTTAGCGCGCTTGTTGTTACGCCCCATATTGGCTGATTTCGGAAGAAGGTTGTGGCGGTGTTGATTTCTGGTGTGGCTTAGGAGTATTGTTAGTCCGAATGTATTTGTGCACGGACTGGAAAGGATTTGAATTATGTAAATATGGGAGACAGGAGCAAATTGTGTGGGTTTAAAAATCATGTGGGGCTTTAGTGTACCTTGGTACCAAAGCACCTGCCACTTGTTAACACAGCACCTTAGGTAGGCATGTACATACCTATGCGTGCAAGAGCTACCACTTAGGTATCTATGTACCTGTAAATACTTATTGCATGCAGTGAAGTTGATACTAATATTTGTGCTTGCCTTAGGTAGTTTAGATATTCAACCTTCAGTTAAACGAAACATATGCATTTCGAAATCTATAAAAGTCCTCTTAAACCCCTTGAAACAAAACTGAGGATAGAACCTAGGTTAGATGTGAAGTATCACCCAGGAAATTTTACATACACTTTACAGATAGATAAATATCTGACTTAATTTCGGTTTATAGTTCTTCTTTCTATAGTATCCAAGTCAGTAGAACTCAGCACGTTAGAGGCTAGATGAAGAAGCTACACAGGTAGAGAATAGATCCTTATCTCACATATCAACCCCCAAGCATTCACAACCTCCAGCAAATCATTATAATATACACAATATACACAATATACACACAGCAAAGCTTCACAGAAGACCAAGCACAAGCATATAGTAAAACATTGTAGTTAGGTAGTAACATGCTTAGAATAGAGCTATTAGAAAGCCTCTCGTCATGATAATTGACAGTCCCAATATCCACTGCGCTAGCTAAGATACCTAGGTAGGTAGGTAAACGCCACCAATAGCGAATTAGAAGCCCCTGCTTCGTGTCCAGCTCTAAGTGCCCAGTGTTTCCCTGCGAGAGTGAGCCTAACTCGCGCGCGGCGTCGAAATAGGCGTCGAAACAGGCTCGATAAACACCCGCTTCGTAGTAATGGACACATACGCTCGCCTAGTAAGCAATGGAGGAATAGCAATGCGCGCTTGTGCCAGAGTAAATATCCGTACATGACCCCGCCCATTTGTTGCTACTTGTAACAGTTTTTGAATTATGGCATTCATATATTAGGGACGCGTTGCCCTGTTAACTTGTCTTGAGATCATATGATCCCGCCGGGAGGATTATACTGAACTCCTGTTAAGTCGCCTGTATTCAGACCAGCGCTCCCAGGTGTTTCGGCGTCCGCTTGTGCAGTATTGGTTTTCCGTAACATGAACATTGGTTTCTTTCCTTCCTTGTCCAATTGCTTAAAAAGGATCAATGGCTTCTCGTGCAGACCCAGGCAACGTTCTTGGTCACCATACACAATATACAGCGCGTATTGGTCCCATGGCGCGTTGATCTGATATTTCTTTAGAGCAGCTGGGAGGACCTTGTAGCAAGGATCGTCCATACTAACCCTAAACGACTTAAAGATCTCCACTGAAGAATTCGAGCCTGGAGTCTCGGGTACTGGTGTCTGTCCTCGCCGCGGCGCGATGGGTTGCTTAGAATTATGGCCATATTCACTTTCCGAGAAGGTGGTGCGGTTAGATGGCGTTTGCCTGTCGTCAGAGCGGTATGACCGGGAACCGAGGGTGGCGCTGCCTAGATTTGGAGGTGAGGTGGGCGAGGGCATATTCGGAGAATAACCAGGCGACGTAGCCTGGCCGGAGCCATTCATCGCAGTCAGAAGTGATGATGACATAACAGCCCTCTCGGCAGCACCCGCGGGGTCTAGAGTTTGTTCTACAGAGGGCCGCTCGTGAGTGGTCTGTAAGTGAGTGGGGGATACGCTCTTGGGATTCGTACCAAGAACAATCTTCTTAGTGGAATATTGACGTTTAATACCGCCGGCCGATTGATTCGATGCAGAGGTAGGAGCGGGAGGGGAAACCGTAGAAGTCTCGTAGCCGTAGCCTCCTTGGTTGTTTGATACATGTGGTAGAGGCTGCTGCGCGTCTTTAGCAAGGCGCAAAGCTGGCAGCATATCTTCGCGCAGCCTTCTGAAATCCTCGGTCATCCGTCGCAAGTCCTGCTCCAGGAAGCTCATCCTTTCGTCTCGAAGTCGTAGCTGCTCGACAAGGTTTTTGATGTCTTTAAGGGTTGCGGTAGCGTATTGGGCTTCGGCATCGGCAGCTATATGAGAAGTTAGTAGACTGATTAACGGCAACATTAAGTACGCAAAGTGCGCAAGGAGGACGGGAACCAGAAGGAACGCAACGTACAAAGTGGTACATAGTGGTCGCTCTCTATAGGAACGTCCTGTGCCTTTTTTACATCATATACGCTCTTAAGTATCGTTAAGCGGTGGCCGACACTAGCTACTCCCATAGCTTTGAGGTCATCGTGTAGCAGAGCCACTAAGGCTTCGCCCACAATCTCGTTCTCTAGACTTAATGTTAGAACAGCAAATTTGACAAGGAGGGCTGTAACGACGTTTCACGACCACACGCCAAGCGAAAATACATACCAAGAAATCGATCTGAATACTGCTGTAATCCTATACTAGCAATAAAATCGGCACACTCATCGGCGTCCCATTCGGATATTATGGTTTCGGGCAACCTGTCGGCGCTACTGGGTTGTCCGTAGGTCGTAGGCGTGTGCTCGGTAGAGGATCGGCCATCGGAATCGGTCGGGGAGATCTCAGAATCGGTGGCGAGGACGGGTGAACTGGTATGGAGGCTCCTCTCGTACTCATCGTCGGCGTCGGATTCCGCATAGGCGGTGCCTGAGTCGAAGTTCATCGTCGGCGCTTGCTAAAGCAAAGCAAGGCAAAATAGCAAGAATCAATTTGAGACTGTGGCGTTATTTAGGTTATATCGTCTCCCACGTTTCCACGTTTCAAAAACTCTCTTTGCTTCTTTCTTGTAACTCCCAGACCCCTCCCTCCTTTTTCTTTTCCGCTCTCTTTCTCTCTGTCGAACAGGGTCTAAAAGGGTTCAAAGACGAGAATTATAAACCCGCGCGCCTAATCGACAAGGAGCTATCAAAGACTTTGTTCCTAGTAACAACCCGGGAAGAGTCCACCTTAATATAATACAACGATGTGTCGAAACAGCTATCGGAAACAGGAGTTATGGGGAATTGTTTACTACGGACGAAAACCCTTGCAGTACTACTGTATAAGTCGGGGACAGTGTTGGTTTTGGAGGACAAGTCGGAGAGGAGAGACTAGAGTTGGCTGTTATTTGCAGTGCGGACTTGGAGACTTTGGAGGTTGCTAATAACGAATTGATTCGAGGTTGTAGAAAGCCCAGCGCTTTGCCTTGGTCCCGCTCGCAATTCCTTAAGTTCTTGTTCCTGGTAGTCCCTCCATCCCTGTCCCTCCTTCCCTGTGTACACTATTCTACCTACATGCATTTATGTACATACACTAATATCCGTAGTGTCAATTATACGTACCTAATATATGTAGAAGTACATAATGTACCTAGCTTGGTATTGTGATACATAATAAATGTATCTGTGCTGCTGTACCGCCCAAAAGATGCACAGCATAAATAAAGGGGGTACACAGCCCCCATGGTCACTGTACATAAAGTGCCCGGTGTTTCTAATAGTCGGATGGTGTACCTGAGCAGGCCTAGTTGGGTACTTGTAGCCGCTGCTTGGCGCCCTTTTCGCTCTTACCCTGTCCTCCTCTAAGCATTACACAGTCCACCTCTCTGCGCCTTTTAACCCGTTTTTTACTAGTCTCCGCAGGTTGGGATGGGTCCCCTTTTTTTCTCAACCACTAATTCGAGACAATTGTACTAAGTATAGGTTTATGTACCCAAGTACCTACATCGTTGGCGTCTATAGAGTGTGGATGTACATACATATATAAAAATACTTTGTAAAATACTCCATACCTATAATAAATCATAAACGTATGGATACAGTCATATTAATATCGGTATTTTTTTTCTTAATAATTTCCCTTCATCTTGTACTGAGAAGCGAGCTATCAAATCAGCAAAAGAAAAGAACACCCTTGTCTCTGCAGAATGCAGAATTTACGGAAATATCCGCTTAACAAGCTTAAGCTGCCATAGCTTTTGGACTAGAATGTTGACGACGACGGTTAGATTCCATCGCAAATCATTGGATATTGCAACGTCCAAGTAAGCCTGGCGTTACATTCGCTTCAACCGAGTCGGCGGCACGCAACCTTTCATGATCTATCATCTTGAACCTTTTAGGTTATACCATGTTTAAACGTTCATATCGTCTACCTACCTATGTACATACATACAAGAATCTTCCGGGTCTACTCTAATCTACGGATCTCGGCACTTCTTAGTTATGATTATATAACATCAATAGATTTCATCCTCAACTCGGCTGGCCTGTTGTTCATATAGACAAGAATAATTGGTTATGTTGGAAATATATTTTTAATAATTACCTCTTAAGTGAAGAGGAAGTTGAATTTAGAAATGCTGATCCAATGTAAGCAAGCCCTTTCCTGTCAGCCGCAACACCTTACCCATACTCTACAAGAAACTGATTGCTTCATTAGTGCTAGTCTTCAAATGATGGCGCGGGGAATCCATCATATTACCACTTTAAGATAATTCTCATTAAGGTAGGTAGGCATGTCTGGATTCTTAACTTATAGAATCAGCCCAAATCCAAGGGAATAGCGGCTCCTTCAAGATGCTAATTATATACATATTCATGACATTACTTCCAATCCACACTTTACCCAAAACGTTCAAAAATCCTAGCTAAGCATTATATCAAGTCTCTTTCCTAATGGGATATACTTAATAATATCTTAATAGATTCTCTACGCCTAGTAAACTACCTAATATTAAAGACGCTAAGCATTGGGTGATATTCACCACATAAGTCATAATGCATATAATTAAGCAAATAGTAACGAATGAATTCGTATTCCTATCGAATACTATTAATGCCCCAAGTCCACAAGGGACGAGGCTAAGGGTCATCGTTGACCTAAGGTCAACTGACGACCAAGGGCGGCAATACAATAAGTACAGCGTCAGGGTATCTTTGTCTTCCGATGCCTGCGGCAAAAAGGAGCTGTTCCGCCTCGCTCGCCCTTTTGACATACCAGCCGGTGTGAAGTGAACCAAGGTTTATCTGTAAAGCGAGTGCGGGCCCAACCTCCAAATACACAACCAATTATCGGCCCGGGGCCGTCTATTAACTCCAAGGCGCCCTAGTTCGAGATATCGTATTCCCATACCGTGACAAAACTCCTGGATGAAAGTTATTCACATTCGTAACTGCAGAATGCCCAATTATTCTATCTTAATCTTACTTTAGCGTCTTCCGAACCATGAGCGATAACCTCCTCAAGGGACCATCGAGGAGGCTCGATAACGCCCTTAGGTCCACTAGCATTATGCCGCATCTTCTCATTTTCCGGGGCAACGCCTTCTGGTGGGGACTTGAGGCCTCCGGCAATTCCTGTTGAAAACTTGAGCTGTAAGATATCTCCGACCTCGTCGCAAGCAGCTAGAAGTCGGTCCATATCGTCCTTGTTGTGTGCAGCCGAGACACAGAAACGTGCACGAGAGCTGATCAGTGGAGTGGCAGGGTACCCAACAACAACAACTGAAATCCTACGCTTAAGCATCTCATGGCTGAAGGCAGAGATCTTAGCAGGGTTATATAAAGTGACAGGGATAATGGGAGAATCATCGTGACCATAGACGATAAGACCCAAGCGCTTGAGACCGAGACGAAGATATCGAGAATTGAAGGCAATACGCTGCAAGCGTTCCTCGCCCTGACCGGGAACAAGTTCACCGCTAATGATCTTTAGCGAAGCCAGAATCTGCATCAGGACAGCCGGAGTGGGAGATTCTCCTAGCATAGTAGCGGAGTTAGAACTCTTCAGCTTCTCGATAATATGCTTCTCAGCTGCCACGTAACCTCCATTGGCACCGAAGGACTTTGTCAGAGTTCCCATCAGAATATCTACTCTGCTTGGGTCGATACCGAAGTAGTCACAGACGCCACGTCCCTTGGGACCAAGGGCACCAATGCTGTGGGCTTCGTCGACGTAGAGGGCAAACTTGTAGATGTCTTTGAGGTTGAGAATGCCGGGTAGATCGCACATAGTACCTTCCATGGAATAAAGTCCCTCAACAGCGACGAGAATCTTCTTCCAAGGACGATGAGTTCGAGGCTGACCTTGGGCAATGGCTTCTCGCAGTTTTCTCTCAAGGTCCAGCATATCGTTATGTTTGAAAGAACGAATGACAGCACCAGAAAGACGAGCACCGAGTCGGATTGAGGCATGGTTCAGCTCATCGGAGATGATCAGGCAACCTTTGGAAACAAGAGCTGGGAAAGAGCTCGCGTTTGTGACGAACCCCATAGAGAAAACCATGGCAGCTGGTTTGCCAACAAATGTCGCAATTTCCTTCTCAACCTCACAGACAAGTTCAGAAGTACCTGAATCAGCACGAGGACTGCAGAAGCTGAGACCATATCTCTTCACACACTCCTCGACAGCATTAGCGCAAGGACCTTCAGACTGTGCAAAACCAAGGTAGTTGTACGAGCTCATATTCAGAGTCTCTGTCGCACCACCAGTGTACCTGTAAGTCTCATTGAAGTCATCCGAAACACGGTTCAAAACGTTGATATATCGACCCGGCACGCCAGTAATAGTCCTTGCGAAGCAATCGTCTATACGCATCTTCAGCCGTCTAGTGTAGAAGCTATCAAAATCGTCATTCAAAGGTGCATAGCCATTGGCTACACGGAGAGTCTTGTAAGTTTGTTTCTTGCTGAATCGCTTGCCGAAAAAGTCCCTAATGTGACCAAGAGCGAGGAGAAGGAGATAGCTAATATAGGTTGTCAAGACATAATAATATGGCGGCTCGTCAATGATGGGTGCCTCTAAAGGTTCTCCATGGTGCTTGCTGACGTATCGGTCGGTCGGGTCAACCAATGGCCCGAACTGGGCGTCAAACCGTTTCTGACGTGATATTTCGGTAGAGGAAGGAGGTTGGAACAAGGTAGTCGGTGGCTCATCTTGATTAAGATCGCCAGCAGTAGCCGTAGAAAGGGAAATAGTTGGCAGGGATAAACCCGAAGCCGTAATAGAAGAATTAGAGCCGTTCTGCATGGCCATTAGGGCTTGCTGGGCGGGTGGCTGTTGACTAGCCTTGGGGGACGAGGAGAAGAGTTGGCTAAGGCGATTCCCTCTGGACTGTGAGGGCCTTCTCTCACCAGCCTTCTCTGTATGCGGCATACTGTTTGAAGTAAAGGGTATTGAGATACGTCGTGGCATTTCTATAGGTAATAGGAAATAGTAACGGATATATAATCTGGCGTTTGTGAAGGGACAAATAACGCAAAAGAGCCCTGAAGTATAGGTCTACAGTTTGTAAATCTAAATAGGCGTTAGTTAAATGGGTTAAGTGCCACCGGAAAGTTAATGCCATTGAGTTGTCAGGTTAGAACCACACGGTAACAGTCGGGGGTTCTTAAGGGGGATGGATCGTGGTATTCGTTTCCAACAGACTCCGGCGGAAGTTGACCGCAAAGATAGGAAACAATAACACAGCCGCAATATCTAGGACACGACTAGGACATGGTTGCCGATAACTCGATAAACAATCCAAGGCGCAAGGTATGCACCAATTGTGCCAATTGTGACAATTGTGGCGAACGAGTTGATAATGGAAAGCTTTGGTGAATTGGGTTTGTACAAACAATGCCTGTCCGTGCTTGATTGTGCGCAAATGGGTATTTAAAGAAATCAACTCACTTTGCCCTTTCCCTGAGCTTTCTGTCCTTTGCACTGGTCCTTCTAAGGGTGGCTGTTGTTCCTGTCTTGAGATTTACGGATAGGCCGGCCGAGCGAGTTGAAAGCTATCGATTAAAAACCTTAGAGCTATTGAAACTCGATTAAAGGGAGGGATTCAATTGGGCGACGGCTGATATCGTTAAATCAAGGAGTGTAATTGAGGGAAAATATTCCCTCGACAGCGACGACAGCGACGACAGCTACCCTTAACAACCAAAAACACCTTTCTGAAAAGTTGACAAGGAAGAGAGGTGCACGAGGTGAAGAAGGCGAGGAAGAAGATCAAATTTAGGAAGCGCGAGAGCAACTAGATTTAGATGGCAGTTTCAAAATGTGGGTCGAAATTAGTGTAAATCTGTTAGCTAATACCGTACATATGCAGCTAATATCATTATTGGTCCATTTTATGTTCATTAATACACTAAATCCATTTGGTACCGTATGAGCCGAACGGGCCATAAGTTTCACAAAAACCGTACCATACATAGTAGTATAAGATCGCCACAGGCCTCCCAGGCAGGGCTGACAGGCTATGTATGTATTTCTCCAAGACTCAGGCACTTTAGGTATGTACGGATCTGTAATGTCATATTACATAGTCAGAGTCAGGTCTGAGAAAGTCCTTCCCGCAATCCCGGAATAAACGTCTCGCCATCCTGCCTTCAACTTACCGGGCAATTCTCGCCTTCTCGCAAGCCATTTAACATTAGTCGGTACCTAACGCTCCCAATCTTTCCCATCCCTCCTTCCGACAGATCCGTTCCCCACAAATACACATTATATGCAAATTCCGCGTCTTAGGTTAGGTACTCTTAGGATTTAACCTACATGTAGATAGGGAGTTTGCTAAATGACAGCTGCCCAGCTACATGAGTTACAGGTACATGGTGTATAATAAATGCCTCGGCAAAGCTGTCTTAGCATTGAACTCATTTTCTTGAATCATGTTAAGCACTACCTTTAACTCTTAAGAAGCTCTAGAGAGTCAGGGAGGAGAAGCAGCTTTTTTTTCTGCAGTTTACTGCGAAGTGATCACACGCATTACGATGCAATCGGAATGGTGCCAGTCGCGAAATTACCCCTAGCCGCATTTTCATTTTGGACCACGCCATTATCAGCTTGGCAGGGCTTCAATTGGGTTTTATGATCATATTACGGAGCAAGCGGAGCAGTGGTGATGGCCGGGCTCGGCCGGTACGTGAAGGATCCATCCGTCATTACTACACAAAATTGCATTATGCGCGTTACATACAGGGACTTCTTTAAATCGGTGCCTATCGTGATCGAGATCAAATCCCTATGTCATTTATGTACATAGTACGCGAAATACCTATATACGATACAACAAGGCGGGGTTCGCTATGATCGATCGCTATGTATTACGAGACAGACGAGTTAAGCCTCCATTTGGTCTCAAAAAGACGTGGCGTCCTACATCTCATCTTACGTATTTATAACCAAAACAGCCTAATCCCCAGTAATAGCCATCGTCTTACTTCACCACGATAAGTGCTAAATTTGCGAATATTGCCCTTGTCTGCTTACTCTACAAATCTCGTGCCAACGTAAGGGAATTGTCGAAACTTCATTTCATTCATAAAATAATAGAGCCTCCAGGGTTAAAGCCAACCAATGCGATTCAAGCAAAGCTGCCTAATGCAGACGAAGGTGCCATCCAAAAGGATCAGAAGGTCGCACAGAGGGTCCTGGTAACGCGCTTAAATTGAACTTTATTCCCGATAAGAACATTGACGATCGAGAGAATGGCCAATCACAAGCCGGTGCGTCGCAAGCGTACATGTGCATACCGACACCTTACATAGTATAGGTACATATGTACTGCAGTATACTAACGTACCATCTCCCGTAGCGCGAACTACATGTACAGTATTCCTCCACTAGATCGAAGGAGGAAAAGGCTTGAAAATGCTTACTCAAGTAATGCTTTAAGCGGTTACAAAAGATTGAACTCAACAGTTTCTGACAATAGTCCTCCACATTCACCAGCCACAGTTGGCATCGGACTTTGTAGGTAGCTTATGGTTTAACTTACGGATTAGAAAAGGAGGCATTAGACTTGTGGCAGACTTGTGGCTTTCGTTTACATACAAGTTCAAGGCCGAATTACCTGGGTTGGGTATTTAGGTATGTAATTGGCATCCTCGGCCAATCATAAGCTCAACAGACCTACTCCGTGATATCTGAATATTATATCTCTCACAGGCACCGTCATAATTCTTCAAGTCAGCTTTCTACGCGTATTAAGAATACAAGGTTCCGTATATTCACAATGACTGTCGATACCATCTCTGAGCCAGCCGAGTTGTGGCGGCACCCAAATCCTACCTCAACCGAGATGTACAAGTTTCTAGAACACGTAAGGGGTAAATATGACGTCGAGATCAAAGACTATCCCACCTTACACAAGTGGTCCGTCGAGAATATCTCAGAGTTCTGGGAGGAAGTATGGCACTTCTGCGGCATAAAGGCATCCAGGCCTTACTCATGTGTACGTGTCTTGGCATTCTCAAAATCTATCTTCAACATTTTATATACTCCCAGGTCCCCGAGGATTAGATAACTTGAGATTTGGTACCCCTATTTTTCAAATTAGCGCAATGCTTAACTTATCACTTGATAGGTTTTACCGGACAACACATCCATGTTCCCTAGGCCGAATTTCTTCTCCGGTGCATTGCTAAATTTCGCGGAGAACCTCCTGTTCCCAGAAAAGGCGGATATTGACGAGTCCTCTACTGCAGTCATCACGGTTACTGAAGTTGAAGAGCAGCTCGTGTCGACGACATGGGCTGAATTACGAGAAGCAGTACGACAGTGCTCTAATTCGTTGAGGGCTGCCGGCTTGAAACCCAAAGATGTTGTCGCCGGATTCGTGTCGAACCACCACCAGGCTCTCGTAGCGATGCTATCTGCAGCCGCCATCGGAGCCGTGTGGACAGGAATAAGCCCGGATAACGGAGTAAGTGCCGTCTTAGATAGGCTAGTCCAGCTTGAGCCCAAGGTCTTGTTCGCGGACAATGGGACCGTGTACAACGGTAAGTCATGGGCTGGTACGGGCAAGATAGCACAAGTAGTCGACGAACTCGCGTCCAGGGGCTTAGAACTTGTCGTCGTCATAAACAACGTCCAAGACTTTAACCTGGAATCGGAAGGACTGGTCTCGGAGGGGGTAATGACTAGAGAATACGAAAGCTTTTTGAAGAGGTATTCCCCCAAGAACACATTGACCAATACTGTTAACGTTAATACTATCTAGCGGCGGTGACGACCCCCTAAAATTTGAACAACTCCCGCCATCACATCCCCTCTATGTCTTATTTTCTAGTGGTACTACGGGTTTGCCAAAGGCCATAGTCCACTCGACGTTGGGCACGCTGATTCAACATAAGAAAGAGTTATATCTTCATTCCTCACTTAATTCGACTTCGAGGTTGCTCTACTATACTACTACATCTGTACGTAGTATCAAATTTTCATTTCCCCCTTCTTAGACCTCTCTCAGGAGCCAATATGTTCTTGTCAAGTTGACCAAAGGGCTATTTCTCCCAGATATGCCCAAGCCCCTTAAGCTCATCACTGGAAATGATTGTTAACTATCGTCCCTATAGTGGATGATGTGGCATTGGAGCATATCAGCTCTTTCATGCGGCACGACTCTTATTCTATACTCCGGTTCGCCCTTCAAACCGCATGGCTACCTCTCCCTGCCCCGACTCATTTCCTCGTTACGGGCAACTCACTTTGGCACATCTGCCGCATATCTTACAACGCTTGAGACTAACTCAGTTTATCCAATTCGATCACTCGACCTTTCCTCTCTGCAAGCAATCTACTCAACAGCCGCACCCTTACCACCATCAACTTTCTCTTTCGTATATAAGGCATTTCCTGCTCACGTCAATTTAGCATCTATCACCGGGGGTACTGACATCATCTCTTGCTTCGGTCTCCCGTGCCCATTGCTTCCAGTCCACGTGGGCGAAATTCAATGCGCGGCGCTTGGCATGGCCATTGACGTAGTAGACTCTATTAGCGGTGCCCCGATGCCCGACGGAAACGGAGAGCTGGTATGCACAAAGCCGTTTCCCTCCCAGCCTCTGACATTCTGGGGACCTGGGGGTGATGCCAAGTACCGTGCTAGCTACTTCGAACGTTTTGATGGCATATGGCATCATGGTGACTTTCTACGGATGAACGCCACGACGGGTGGTATTGTCATGCTAGGGCGTAGCGATGGCGTCCTCAAGCCTGGCGGGGTAAGATTCGGTAGCGCCGAGATCTACAACTTGTTGACAAAATTCTTCGGGGCTGAGATAGAGGATGCGGTATGTGTTGGTCGGAGGAGAGAGACGGACCGCGACGAAACTGTCTGCTTGTTCGTCGTCATGGCCGAGGGGAACAAGTTTACCCCTGACCTACAAGAGAGGATCAGAGATGCAATTCGAAAGGAATTAAGTCCACGGCATATCCCCGCTGTGATCGAAGAATGTGGAGCAGGAGTTCCGAAGACATTAAACGGGAAGAAGTACGTCTTTATTGCGTTTCATCTGTTTCTATAATGTAGTTCTAATTATAGCTAACATCTGACTAGAATCGAGGTTGCAGTCAAGCAGATTCTTTCCGGAATCGACATCAAGACGAATACCAGTGTAGCGAATCCCGAATCTTTGATTTGGTTCAAAGAATGGGCATCGACGCATAATTAAAACGGTATAGAGTAACAAGGTTCACGAACAGGGGAAATCAGCGTCACTTGGTGGATTTTAGATATCAACTTAAGACTAGATAGAGATTCAGAGACATGGCCTTAGGATTCTAGCTAATAGAAAGGGGACGGTAAAATGTGAACAGGATATATATTCATTGCTTTACTTCTTCGTGTTAATCCTTGCCCTACGTAACATGTCCAGATATTGGCCTTCACCACATGATCTCCCTTAACCTCACCTTCTCATCATCGTCCGCAAAGATGACATCAATGCCCTTCCTCGCCAATCCTAATATTTCCTCTCTCTGTAGCCTGAAGTGCTCCTGTATAAGCCTCCATTCATTCGACAGCGGACTCCCAAAAATGCCCACATCATCAGTCTAACCAGAATCTAGTCAGCCCAGCCCAATACACAAGTAATTTTCCAATCCAATGCACACGTCAACTTACACAAGGCACAACAACCGGGCCATCAACCCGCCACCACTCCCCGAAATGATGCGCCTCGAAACTTCCAACAATCATTTTAGCGTGGACGTTGCAGCTAAGACACAGCTCCAGCCCAATCCCCGTCTGCGCCTCTATCTGCCTCTTGACACCCTCCGGCACATGGATCACGTGGCCCAGCCGGTCCGGCATCCAGCTCATAATGGTGCTCAGCTCGGCTAAGCTAGCACTAGCCTCCGCCTCTGCAAAATGGATCGTCACTTTCAGTCCCACTGCCTGTGCCTCTTTGACCGCAGGCGTGAATAGCGATACATCCCCCTTCGTAGGGTCGCCGCAGAGGTCGATTCCTACGACGCCTTGGTCCTGGGCACGGAATTGCTTCGCGAGAGAGACGACTTCGTAAGCTTCGGCGAGAGTGTTGCGCCGGTCGATGGACAGTATTAGACGCGTGTGGAGCGTCTGCGTCTGCGTCTGCGCTTCTTCCTGCGCGATCGCCTGCAGCACAGCCGCTACATAGCCCGCCTTATCTAGGCCCGCGGCCGGCATCGCGCGCGGTGTTGTCCTCAGCTCGAGATACGCCACTCCGTCGGTAGCGAAGTCGCGCACGACGGATTTGGTGGAGTGCTCGAGAGACGGGGCGTCGTTAATCAGGTTGTAGATGTAAGAAGAGAAGAGGGGGAAGAAGCTAGGGAGATGGCCTCAGCTCTTATTATTATCCGGGCCAATATGCCATCCTTTACTAGGATTCTTCACTAGGGGGGGCTGCTTCTTACGTTGTGAGATCATAGTCGTGCCTACCTAGCGGCATCACGACTAGAGGGTCTTCCAGGTCGGTTTCCCCAGCTGCTTTCTTGACTTCCCAGATCTCGTGCAAACATTGCCGGCTTATACTGCCTGTTAAGTGGGCATGGAGCTATTTTTTATGAAATAGATGTTAATATAACTAAGTGTATTCGAGTGTCGATCTAGTTTACCTCAATCTTGGGCATGGACTTGAAGTCTAAGTCTTGTTCCTGTGCCATGATGCCGTTTAAGACAGTTCCTTGAGGCGTTGGATCAATGTTCGCCGTACTTGATCTATCAAATTCCTTAGCTTAAAGCGTGCTGCTAAGGCATCTCACAGGAGATCTAGCTAGTTAGCGGAGAAGACTTGTAGTTGAAACGCCTGTAGCTAATTTTTAAGCGTAATATAGACGATAGCCCCCCCTTGGTATTGTAAACGACGTCAATTATTTACAATATCGATAGCATCCGCGAGTCTAAAATATATTAACATCTATAAAATAACCATTGTCGCGTGGACGGTTACTATATGTTTACTTCCATCAGCTTCACTGCATAGTTCAATGGGATAAATCCGAACGGATCGTAAAATTGAATAAGCCTCGGTAAATGATATCGTATCCTATTTTTTGAGTCTGGCAACCAATACATATCAAAATACGCCCGATGCCACACAGTGTCTAACAAACTGTCTGCTTGAGGCTTGTCAGATTCCTACCGAGTAACTATGTAAGCCTTCTGGAAGTTCTATCTGCATAGGTACCTAGGTATTAGATCCTTCCGATCCATCACGGTATGTACGTTTCCGTAGTAAGCGATCCGTCCAACGGCCTTATTAAAGCAAGGCCGGAGTTCGTCGAGATGCGTAATGTTTGACGAATTAGTGTCACTAACTAAATCTTGTTCAGTCTTTGCCTCGGGTGTTTTCCTCTCGTTGCTCAAATAAGCACTGCATATTTAGTTAGACCTTTGTACATACGTGATCGGAACAAATAACCGAGCTAATCCTAGTCCTCTTATACTACGCACCTTGGAATAACTTCGGTATTCTTTGGTTGGTAGGAAATTAGTAGACTGGGGAGAGGGGATATTACATAGGTAGGTATCGGACCCGACGCCGTCGAGTCCAGCTACTAAGTACATACCTTGCATAGGCGAGGATCGAGAATGCCTCATTAACGAGATCGTCGAGGCTAACGGGGCTAGGGCATGGACCAGGGACGATTCTGGTTCTGGTAGTGTGTATCCACATTGAAGGACCGTAATGAGCATGTATGATTTCTTGTTCCCATAGCAGCGGAGACTTTTCACAGCTAAGCTCTTTGGGTAAGGATATCTTATTAATCGTGTTGTGGTAGATCTATGTATATGTATAGCATGGGTCCTGGTGTGATAACGAAAGCATACAATACCTACCTGGCTTACATTACAGTCTTAGGGTCACTAGGTTAGAAGTTTATTCTTGACCGTCGTACGGGAGAAAACTGCAACTGATCTGTAAGAACCATTCGACAGGTGTATTAAACGATAGTTGGCTCTTGGCTCGTCTGCTGTGCCGCGAGCGTAGAATTGGACGCGAGGAGGCTAATTTAATAAGTCGGAGAACAGTGTTCTCATATAAAAAGCCGTGTCCATACCGGTTTTTATTTTCTCCTTATCTGACTCTACTATGCTAGTGAAGTTGTAAACACAAAGAGAAAGATAAAAGACGTATGATATTATGTGCCTATCCTAGGATCTCAAGTCACAAAGGAAGCATGAGCATAGAAGTATTGTACTACTTTCAAAAGCTTCGCCAACTTGCCTGACACCCTACTCCTGTCAAATGCAACAAAATAAACCGGACTGTTGGATTGGTGAAAACGCGAGGATGGTAAGCACTGATATAAGATCTATTCGGGAGACGCGATCCGAATCTCTCCAGCCCAGGCTTCTAAATCGTTATTCTAAGATGCATATATTGTCAGAGATGCATTTGTCCCGGATGGGTTGTTCAAGTGATTAGAAAATGTAGACAGAAAAGAGCTTCAATCTAGAAGCGATAAAACATGGAGAATTAAAATAGTCTCCCTATTAAATAAAAATACATATCATAAGTACATGTCATAAATGTCGGCTTTTATATAACTGCCCAATTCAATGTTACGCAAGCGAAAAAAGTATCAAGGTACCGAAGCCCGAGCGCTTACTTACACACACATGCGGCGTAATTACTTGTCGTAGCGAATAGAAGGCCTCATTAGTCAGTCCTATCATTCCCCCTTTTAGCTAATTGCAGCGCGGCCTGGGACTTCACTGGCAGATTGATACTACAAATATTTGAATTGTCCGTACATCTCTAAATCTTACATACACTACATACTTACATTGCTTACCTATGTACCAGAATGGTTTATTCCTCTTTTACAATCACTGTTGTTAATAAACCAAGACAACAGAAGGTCGTATTATTATTTAGTAGTAAATATAGATGTAAATAAAAGGAGGCATTATACATGGTATGTTACCTATGTGGGTAATCTCTTCATACCTATATGTACACTATGTACATACATGTTAGGTAAAATAGTACTTTAAATATTAATGTTTGTTCGGGCGGTGCGGTCTGTATTAGTTTGTACATTACCTAGGTACTATGTAGAACAATACATAAATACATAACTACCTAGGTACCTAGGTACACAAATGAATGCTACCTACATGTAGGTAATGTACCTAACCATGCCAAATGTACATATGCATGCCCTGGAATAGGCGGGAGAATGGCAAGAATGGCAAGGAGGACATTATTTATGATTGCAGTACCAGCCTGCATACAAATAAGTACACATAGGTCCCCATATATTTTGATGCATGTACATGTGCTATCTCCGGGTACCTCTTAGACTACTTACCTTACCTTACCTTCATTTACCTCCTGTTCCTGCTCCTACTCCTACAGCCTACAGCACTTGCTACTCCTTCCAGATTGCTGGACGCTGCCTTCCTTCTAGCCTTTTCCTGTCTTGCCTTGATTACATTTTTTCCCCGATCTCCAAATCTTCAGGCCAGTGACTTTTTTTTTTTGCTATCTTACAACTTACACGCAACTAAATCCATTTGACCTGACTTCCTTCTAGCACTTGGCATTTAGCACTTAGTAGCACGCTGAAGTCCTATCCTCTCCACACTTCTCCCATTCTTTCGCCCTGACAAGTCAATTTCTTCTACTACATCTCCGAGGGTAGCCTAGCCAAAGCTTTATTTTATTTGATTTTTAACCCTTTTAATACTGGTCAGAGCACTTCGACAAGGACCCCCCTGGAGCTTGTCTTCCCTCCTCACCCTTACCCCGAGTTGATTTCCAACCTCACACCTTTTCTCTCTTTTTTATCCCCTTCGGTGTCCTCTGCGCTATTCGTGATCTCCAAATCAACTCTATCCACACCGCTTGACGACACCCGTCGTTCATCACCGTCCATCCAATTCTCACGCTGCTCCTCGGCCCTCTCCTTGACACAGATCCATTGCCGCCGCTATGGACTCGCAACGTCCGAACGATGTGTCGCCCGAGGCCATGCAGGCGCGCATTCAGCAGGCGCGACGCGAGGCTGAGAACTTGAAGGACAGGATCAAGCGAAAGAAGGATGAATTAGCCGATACTACTCGTGAGTTATCCTTCTTGGTCAATTGATAATCATCTCCAGCTTTGCAAACGCGTTTCAATAAAATTAATGCGCTTCATTCTAACACTTATGTCCGTCGTTTTTAGTCCGCGCCGTGGCACAGCAATCTCACGAAGCAATTCCCCGAAATCAATTAATGAAAACAAAGAGGACACTAAAGGGACATCTGGCCAAGATCTATGCTATGCACTGGTCGACCGACCGAAGACATCTAGTATCCGCCTCGCAAGATGGCAAGTTAATCATTTGGGATGCGTATACGACGAACAAAGTCCACGCCATCCCCTTACGGTCATCATGGGTCATGACCTGCGCTTACGCCCCGAGCGGCAATTACGTTGCCTGCGGTGGTCTCGATAACATCTGCTCCATCTATAATCTCAACCAGAACCGAGATGGGCCGACACGCGTAGCTCGTGAGCTATCTGGCCATGCTGGCTATCTATCATGCTGCCGGTTCATTAACGACCGGAGCATCCTTACTTCGTCTGGTGACATGACTTGCATGAAGTGGGACATCGAGACCGGAACAAAGGTTATGGAATTTGCCGACCACCTAGGCGATGTCATGAGCATCAGTCTAAATCCTACGAATCAAAACACATTCATATCCGGCGCTTGCGACGCATTCGCGAAACTATGGGATATCCGTGCTGGCAAGGCCGTGCAGACATTCGCTGGCCATGAGTCTGATATCAATGCCATCCAATTCTTCCCGGATGGCCATTCATTTGTAACAGGATCCGACGACGCGACGTGCAGACTGTTTGATATTCGAGCAGATAGGGAACTCAATCTCTACGGGGTAAGTGGCTGAGGCGAGATAACCCCGGCCTAATGAATGCTAATATTGTAATAGTCTGAATCCATTCTATGTGGTATCACGTCTGTCGCCACTTCTGTTTCTGGCCGCTTACTATTCGCTGGATATGATGACTTCGAATGCAAGGTATATATTTATATATTCCACTATAATCAAGTTATATTGGCTAACAGCTTTTAGGTATGGGATGTCACCAGAGGAGAGAAGGTCGGATCCCTCGTAGGTCACGAGAACCGTGTCAGCTGTCTGGGCGTTAGCAACGATGGTATCAGCCTGTGCACCGGCTCTTGGGACTCTGTGGTAAGTTTTGGACACTTGTATTTTGGACGGACTCGGACTACGCTAACACTCAACAGCTCAAAATCTGGGCATACTAGATGGAAATCTATGTCGAGATGGAGCATTGTTACGTGGATCACCCGCGTAGTTGTCGCTCTCCCTTTTTAGACGAATATTTTGAACTAATTTCAACCTGTCATGCATGACGAATCGTTCAGGTTCGATGCTATCAGGACGAAGTCACGACAGCCTTTTCCAGCAACTATTTTCCTTACTGGCCTGTGTTGTACTCGATTCCCACCGGACTACTGTTCGCCGCTGCTGACCGAGGGGCCAAGGGATGTGTATAGTTCCCAGCCCTGTTCACTTTTAGATACCTCCATAATATCATATTTCTCTACCCAATTCGCATCTGTCAGCTAGTCTGCTAATATACCGCCTCGGACTTGATTGGTAATAATTTACAACGCTCGGTTCGACCTCTATTCTTCGAAGCTAGGTACCGGGCACCTCGATTTACAAGACGAAGATGCGGTATGGTGATTGGGCTTCTCCTTGAACCTTTGGGCTTTGCTTCCCTTATGATTCAGTTCAAAAATTTCGGCGACTCGATACACGGATACAGTCTTCTCCCCCTTTACGGAGGCATGTTGATATGAAAAGGCTCTCACCCGGAAACAAAAACAATTGCGCGTCTACTTGATTCCTGTTTATTGCCTTTTCCCGCCCCTGATATCATTATAGTAGATGGAAGGGGGAGGTATTGGTTGGTATTTTTTCTGTGGATAAAAGGAAAAATCACCTGAGTGTGGTGACCTATTTACT